AGGGCGAACTCATGAGTTCGTTCTGGCAGCATGGTTCGGTGACCGAAGCCTCCATTGTGGGGGCATTCAGGGGAAAACACTGGTCGGCTAGGGATGAGGTGGGTGCTTGGATGAGGGTGATGCTGGCTACCACATTGTTCGTCGACAAGAGTGGTAGTAGAGTGACCCCCAAGCTCCTGAATGAGGTGCTCGACGACTTGAATTTGATTGGGGGTTACTCATGTGGATCGACTACACTGTCATACATGTACAAACAGCTAGGTATTGCCAGCCGAGGGGACTCCAGTGGACTGTCGGGCTGCGAGAATCTTCTGCAGTCTTGGATATATGAGTATTTCTTCGATTCCCGACCCCAGGGGCGTCTACCCATCGCTTCTGACTGTCTTGCACGATCTCGCTCGTGGAGCGTAGGGAATGCGCCAAGGTCAAACGATCGGCTCACAACCATCCGTCGGCGCCTCGACAGACTCACTGCCTCTGATCTACGTGAAGTTATTTTATTTAAATTTAGTTACCCGTCATTTAAAATAATATAATTATTTTTATAAATGCTTTTATGCAAATGTGAACAGGTGCAATGGTTGTCATACGGCAGCTCCAGCCCAGATGCGATAGAGCCGAGGACTCTTTATAGCGCATTGATTCGATACCGCGATGTTGTCGAGCCGTACTTGCCTGCGCGGTGTCTGCGTCAGTTGGGGTATGTCCAGACTATCCCTCCCCCAACATACCCGCCAATTAGTGCAGTACGTGCTTGAGAGTTTAGGAACTATAGGGTTGAGCATTCTGAGACTGCTGCAGTAGGTGGCTGGACCCAGTTCCTGATTTCTGGGATGGTCAACACCGTATGTTCACCCCCACCACACATGATCGCGGGGAGGCGACTGAGGATTACTTGCAGTGGTACAGTCGGGTTTCCCATGTGAATCTCATGGGCGAGGAGTTGCCGGACGAGAACGAGGTCCCTACGCGTGTCATGGGCGAGGAGCTGCGGACGAGAACGAGAACGAGCTGCCGGACGAGAACGAGATCTGTCTCGAAGCGCAGGAACATACGTTCATGTTACAGGGCAATCGAAATCGCATTAATGGTACTTTTTTTTTTCATTTTTAATATAAACCATTCAAATTAATGTTTTTTTTTTTTTGCTAAACTTAAGTTGAGCTGATTCATTTATTTATTTTTATTTGCTAAACTTAACAACCGATTCATTTTTTTTTTTTATTTGCAAAACTTAAGTTGAATGAGAAGCGTCATACCACAAGTGAATAATATCGGTCTTTTATTCAACAAGGTCTATTTTGAACAGTAAACCACGATTGCAACCTAGCCTGGTACTGATCCTCCTAACCCACAACCGATTCATCTCAGTGAGTGAACCACATGGGATGAATAGGCAGTAATGGACAATCATGAGTCAAATCTAAACGAATGTAGTGTTCTACAGTACCAAGATGGCACATAACAATCTCACGACATGGTCCTCTAGCCGATGATCGTGCAATGAGAGGCAACACTGTGAGGCTGAAAAAGTTGTGCTGCCCACCTTGCGGACCAGAGCCCAACAGAACGACAACCGCATTAAATAGGGTCGCAACAGCGTAGAGGTCCTGCGGAACTTCGAACCAGTGATCTCGTCCACAAGGGCCCCGGCCCCACCTTACGCGACGGAGTCCGGTGTCGATATCTCTAAAATAGATGTACTCGTACAATCCACGGTGGCTGTCGACCACCTTCGCAATGTTGTCTCTTGCATCTGTCCAGTACTTCTGGTGACCATACACGTGAATCGCTATGACCCGAAATCCGCAATTACCATCCGACTCCACATTCAGGTAACTTACTATGTAGTCCAACATATGCCAGGGGATATTTTGCCACATTGAAAAATCAAATATATTTGTCGGTCTAAAATCTGCAATATCATAATAATTTCACGTCACAATTTATATAATCATATTAATACTTTAATTAATGCTCAGCCATATTTAAAAATAAAAATAAAAATGTATCACCTGCTTCCCCTTGTGACTATTGAGAAGAAGAGCTTGTCTGTCCACGCGAAGAAGTGGTCGTACGAATCGATTTCCGACCTCGCGATTTATCGTTGTTCTCCCAAGCACATGGTTTACGCTTACTTGAATTATTTTTCTTGGGACGACCTCGCGGGTTATCCTTAACCTCAGGTTCCGCATAATCCTGTTGGTCTGGGTAAAGATGACTGTATATGAACTGATTCACGTACCGCATCGTCGCGGGATCGCGGGTTTCAACCTCACTCATAAGCGTCTGAAAGAACTCCTCATCTGACCATGCAGCCTGGCTCGCCTGGCTCTGATGACCAGTCCCTACAAGTATATGATAAAAAATTCAATGAATTAAACCAAATAATGTACTTTAATTACATAAATTGTAATTGAAAATGAAACAGCAAGTAGAAAATTATAAATAAAACATTAACCTTAAATTACCTGGCTCTAACATCTGTAGCGTTCTCCAGAACTGGTGAATCATTCCGAGATCAATCGGAATTCAGAATCAACTGCGGTACGGAGCAGACTGGCACAAGGAAGTCCATGAGTGAACTACAATACACAGCCGCAACTACCGTAAACATCGGCGTCCAAGCCATGCATCCTCGTAAGCTCAGCGTCCAATAAACTCAGACAGTAATGCGAGGCCCTCAGTATCACGCTCGCGAAAAGGATTCCCTTATACCGTGTATTCTTCTTAGATCTCGAGGCCTCAAGCGCCGTCCTGATAATACGTTGCATAATGTTAGATTATAATTAATGCAGTAATATAATAACGCATTTAAAAATTGCAGTACGTACTTGATTTCAGTCACTTGATGATCGATCTGCTTATTAATCTTCTGCCAAATTGTATCGAGCGCGCCGGTGGACGTATGAAGCCACTCCTTCAACACAGAGTGTGCACTCTCCACCTACAGGAAGTTGCGTTTCCAAAATGTGTCACTCGGTTTGTCCAAGCCTTCACAAACTTCTCCTTGTGCCCTAACCATGTGTTCTCCACATACCGTATCACCTGTGGAGACTTTGAATATTTTGCGTGCAGCTCGGCAACGACATCGGTGTAGTCATCCAACGTACTGGCCTCCGCAATGAGTTTCCACGTACTGTGCGTGAAAATCTGCGAACATTTTTTTCTTTTTCCCAAAGAGTTTGTAGGCTTTGTCTTCCACATCCTTGTTGATGTGCCACGTGCAGAGTAAGTGGGCTGATTTGAAAAAATGCCTCTGAATAGGAGTGATTAAACCCAACTCTCTGTCACTGACAACCACATTAGCATATACGTCTTGGCCTATCAGTAGTCTCAACTTTTGTAGAACCCAGTCGTAACTGGCCTCTTTCTCGTCCCTGATGAGCGCATACGCAATTAGGATGTTCTGGTTGCACGGCGTCATCCCAATCATCTCGACCAACGGCATCTTGTATCTGTGCAAATGAGACCAAGAAGACAAAAAATATAATCAAATAAAAGTTAACTTAATCAAACACACTATTTAAGATTCATACTAATAAAGTATTTATAAAGTAACATACCTGTTGGTTTTATACGTGGAATCTATGCCGACATACCAGTGATATGTCCGGAATAGATTGATCGACGCAGGATGGGCCATGAATATATGCGTCAACGCTTTCGTGTTCGGATCGGATTCTTCATAAACTGTATACTCGCTGCTCACGGCCAAATGCATAAGCTGGGAAGGAACGTCTCTACTGTCGAAACTCTCTTTCCGCAGCTTATCTCTAAAGTTATATACCTGTCACCGATTAGCGTTAATTATAATGATTATTATAATTTAAAACAAAAAAAATTATTATTAATAAATAAAAAAGTATATTAATTAATTAATTTAATAAAAAAATTATTAACTATTATAATAATAATACATTAGTAAATATAATAAAATTTATTAATTCTTACAATAACTTTTACATATAAAAAATTACTAATTATCATAATTAACTTCAAAAAGTTAATTAAAACATATATTACAAGATATAAATATATATACCTGTCGCACATGAACGTTGTCTCCCGGATTCTTTTTCTTCAGCGCAACCATAATTTTTGCCGGGGCCACCTGAGTGTCCGTCATATCACGAACAATTTTTTTAGATGAAGCGCTGAGGCCGTCAACTGGCGATGACCCTCAAGATACACAGCAAATGTATGGTTATGGTAGCCCTTCTCTTCATTGCTACATCTACAGATCCTCCAGTATGGCTCGCCAGACACCTTTTTTACTTTGATCTCAAAATCGCAGCCGCACTTATTCGTTTTTGTCTTTCTGAAATTTCCGCCTGTGCCTCTGTAGCGTTCGCCTCTATGGCACTTCAAAAGCCTGACCGTTTTCTTTTTGTGGCTCAAAATTACTAATAGGAAACCATTCGACATTGCCTGGTGTTTTGCAGCTTCACTAGCGTCCTAAGCACTATTAAATAATGTACAATTATCGAAACTGAGACTGTAATCAACACCATCTCCTCCAAAATCTTCCCATAACTCCTGCTATATAGTACAATATTTATATTTTTAGAATATGTTAAATTAAGATAATTAATTTTAACATGTAACATAATAATTTGTAACTCATAACATGATATTATCTAACGTCCAATTTATAGCATAATGAAGTATAACATGTAACACAATAATTTGTAACTCCTAACACCATATCAGAGCATAAACCCAATAACTTATATTAAAATACAAACACGATCATATTGTTGGAAAATTTGCATCAAGTCCAAAGAGGAATACAGACACGATCACATTATTATTGCCGACATGCTTCGTCTTCCACTTTGATGTAAAAAATGTTGAAATATGGCGAGGGATTCAGAAAGAAATCATTTTTCAATTTTAGAAATATGGCATATGATATTACATGAAATATCTTATTACACATAAGAGCCTTATTCAACAGACATACATACTCCAATGGCATCATGGATAAGATCAAATCTCTAGCTTGTTAGCGTGCAATGGGGAAGTGATCCCTTCCCAGATGATGGTTCATATATATCTTTGGGACTCCCTCTCGATAAGTTGTTATGAGAAAAGTCCATATCCCTCAAACTCACCATACTGCACAATTCTTTAGGCATTTGGCCACACAAATTGTTATGCGATAGGTTCAAACTCTCCAAATAAGCTAGGGCCCCCAAAGACGAAGGGATTGCCCCAGACAACCTATTGTTACTGAGGTCCAAAAAATATTGCAACCTCTTTAATCCCCTTAATTCGTACGGAATCTTCCCTGTTAACAGGTTATTGCTCAAGTTGAGCCCTACTAAGCGAATCAGATTTCCAAATTCTCCTGGAATTTTACACTTGAGTCGATTTCGCGACAGATCAAGGTACTCAACCATTCTCAACTGCCCAATTTCCCTCGGAATTTTTCCTTTCAAAAGATTGCCGCTGAGATTGAGATTAAGCAATTGGCTCAGCTTTCCGAGTTCAACCGGAATGTTGCCCGTCAATTTGTTCGAGCTCAAGTCTAGAACACGGAGTTTTTTTAGACTACCTAACTCAGCTGGAATAACGCCTGATATATTGTTGTGATCCATCCGAATATCCGTGATGTTCTTCCACTTACTCCATTTGGGCGTGACCTGGCCAGTGAACCGATTCCAACTCAGGCTTAAGAACTCGAGCTGCGGATGAATGCCAAATGCATCCGAAATGTCACCAGATAACTGATTCATTTCGAGACGCACCCTCGTCAGGCCTCGGCAATTCCTGATGCAGTTCGGCAAATTACCCGAAAATCCATTCATGTCGACAGTGAAGGTTTTCAAGGCTAGACCATAGCATAAGTTGGGCGGCAGAAGGCCTGAAAAGCCATTGTTCGACAAGCTTATGCCTGCCAGTTGGGGACTCTTCTTTCCCAGGTCTTGAGGGATGGGTCCTGAGAGATTATTATTGAAAAGGGACAAATAAGTAAGCTTAGAAAGGTTGGAGATGGAGTTTGGTAGGGCTCCACTCAATCGGTTTTGGCTGAGATCAAGAGTCTCGAGGGAATTCAGATTCCCGATTTCAGGCGGAATATTTCCGGTGAGTTTGTTGGAGGAAAGGTTAATCTCTGTAAGATTCTTGAGGTTTCCGATTGTCGAGGGTATTTTTCCCGAGAGGCGATTGGCCGAAAGGTCTAGCTGTATGATTTTTTTTAAGTTACCTATCTCTGGTGGGATTTCGCCCCACATATTGTTGTTGTAGATGTAGAGGATGTTGAGGTCTGTCAGTTTTCCGATCTCTGATGGAATTCTGCCACTTAAATTATTGTTCTGAAGCTGCAGTGATGTTAGTTTGGCCCAATTGGTGAGCATGCGAGGCGGGATTGTGCCGGACAAATTATTATCCGATAATCCCAATTCGGATAAACTGGCTAAATTGGACAAGGATATAGGCAAAGGCCCAGAAAGGTTATTCTTGGCCAGAGCTAAATAAGTCAACCTAGTACATTGACCGAGCTCGACTGGTATTGTTGAAGTCAACATGTTCGTGCTAAGGTCTAGCCGCTTTAGATTCGTGAGTTGCCCTATAGAGGATGGTATTTTGCCTACAAAGAGGTTATTTGCCAATCGGAAGTCGATTAAATTTGATAGCTTGAAGATGTCTTTGGACAAGTGGCCTTCCAATGAATTCATGCTGAGGCTAAGATATTGAAGCTTAACCAAATTACTGAATAAAGATTCAGGAATACTACCGGACAGGCTGTTGCTTGACAAATCGAGATAAATGAGGTTGGGACATTTTAATATGAAAGGTGGAATTTGAGACGTGAGCTCGTTAAGGTTAAGATCCAGATGGCGTAACACGGGCATGCTTTGAATTTTCGATGAATCGGGTGCCTCCAGGTAATTGGAGCCAAGATTCAGAAACTCCAACTTCTGAAGATTGCCGATTTGGGAAGGGATTACTCCATTGAGGTTGTTATTGAAGAGGCTCATTTGATTGAGATTCATCAAATTGAAAATCTCTTTGGGGATAGAGTTTCCAAAATTGTTACTGCCCAAGTCCAATCGAGTGAGCCTGGAGAGGCTGCCAATATGGGCCGGAATCGAGCCGTTGAAATTGTTTCCACTGAGGTCGAAAATTTCGAGATAAGGGAATTGGGTGAAATTGAAATAATCTAAAGTGCCAGTGAGAGTTGCATCTTTTAAGTTGATTTTGGATATGGAAGTTGGGCTATCACGGCAGGTGATGCCAGTCCAGTTGCAAATGTTTTGGATGTTTTTTGGAGACCATGAATTGAGATGTGGAGATGGGGATAGGGTGCTTTTCCATTTCAGTAGAGCATCGGCTTCTTGTGTTGTTGTTGGGGAGGAAATTGTTTTGGGAAGGAAAAGAGTGAGGAGAAAGATATGGAGAAAGGTGAATATGTAGGTTTGTTTTGGCCATGCCTGAGTTTTTTTTTTCTTGTGGTAAGTAATGATGAAACTACTACTACTACATTGGTCCATTTACCAAAAGTCTCGATATTTGTTCAAAAAGTTAACGTA